GAAATCAAATCCCAGGAAAGATGGAGGGACTCCAGAGAAAGACTTTATTGTGCAGGGGCTGATGGAGGGGAGAGGTTGAAGCCGAGATAAGCTTCCCATGTAGCCTGGAGCCTGGAGAGGGAAGATGACAATGGCCATATTTATGGGAACATCAAGGGGAAGGCAGCCAGGCGCCCCTGAGCTGTTACGGGAAACCCAGGACTGAGGCCTCTTGTCTGCCTCTGAAGGCTGCTCTTCTTTCAAGGGGCTCAGGCCCTGGTGGTCAGGAGCCCCCAGCCATGCCACTCCCTGTGCCTCATATGCACAGAGGACCTGCCCTTTCCTCTGTCACCAGCAAGGCAGACAGTGACTGCTCACCCTGCACTTTACCATACGAGTGTGTATCTGATTATAAGCAAGTAATCCATACCAGTGGGCACAATATAAAAGGAACAAAAAGGTATGGAGTGAACGTCAGCCACCCAGATCTCTTCCCTAGGCATCACCAAGTCCAATTTGTTATGTGACCCCTGTGAAAAGGCCTATGCTGCACAAGCAAGTATATTTTTACCCTTGAAGGGAAGATAACTTGTACACAAGTGGTAGCCGGTCATGCACCCCATTCTACACCTGGCTTTTTTTTCACCTAACAGTGGTTCTCAAAAATGGTTCTGGAACCTCGTGCTGCAGAGAATTCTCTTGTCCAGAGGCACAACCATTTCTGGTGCCCTGTGGATGGACATCTAAGTGGTTTCCAAGCTTTTCCTGTTACACAACATCATGTGCTGTGAGATGCTGCCCCTTCCCCCATGCACAGGTGTGTCTGTGGAGGAGAAGGTCCTCCAGGAGTCGACGGATTTGGGGAGCGGAGGGTGCATTTTTAGCTTTGGTAGAATTGCCAGATTGCTGTCTGAACGTGTGGAGCCCAGCTCCAGTCCCACCAAGCCATGTGCAAGCACGCCTGGGTCTCCAACAGGCTGGCCAGTTCAGGGTCTTATCATATGTTCAGCTTTTGGCTGAAATGATAGGGCAAAAATGGTATTGAGACAGGGACCATGGGCTTAGGCAGAATAGCCTCCGGAAAAAGCAAGGCAGGATATTTGCTGTCAGAGCAATGTAACTACATGCAAGGAAACCCCCTATAAAACTCTGTGTTAAACATTAAGCTCTAGGGTCATTCTTCAGCAAGATCAGATCACATGTTTTTATTATGCTAATCATTTGTAATCATGTGTAAGCTTCACCTTAGCATGCTAAAGGCCCAGGCCTATGTGCTGTCTTCCCTCCTTCAGATCTGATGAGGTGATTTTGCAAACTGGGCTACTAATTTAGCTGCAGACCCAGCTGTAAACAACATAGTAAAAGGCAGGAAGGATTCCACCTTCAAGATAAGAGTACATTTTAACACCCAGGCAGTTTAAGAAGTAAGATTCTTAACTTAACTCTTTAGCAAACAGACAATAACTCAGCTCACCTTGGAGGCTGGGCAGGCGGCCTTGTTTGATATGCTCCCCTGACCAAGACGCCGGGTATCCCAGGGAGAAATCAAAGCAGGAAATTCTTTATGTTAAGTTAATTCTAAATATTCAGGGACCACTTAACAAGCCCACACCCCTAAGCTTTTCTTCACGTTCCCAAAAATCAACTGCCTATAAAACCCCTAGACAACGCACCCCCACGGGCTCTCTTGTCCCCTCACTGTATCTCTCAATAAAAGCCTCTCCCTGGCTCTCCTGCCTTGGGTGTTGGCGAAATTCATTCTTCGACTCCACAAACAAGAACCCCGGCATCAATGTCGTATTGAGTTTTTGCCTTTCTCTTTATCATGAGGTTCAGCATCTTTGGATGTATTTCAGTTACTTGTAATTCTTTTCTGTGAACAGTTCCTATCCTTTGCCCATTTTTCTGTTGTTCCTCTTTTTCTGATTGATTTATGGGAATATTTTTTTATATCCAAAAAATGAGGTCTTTGTTTGTGATAAAAGTTGCAGATATTTTCCCGCAGTTTGTCATTTGTTGCTTTTGTTTACGGGTAGTTTTTTTTCCAGGTGGAATTTTTATATAGTTGAAGGTATCAATCTGCTTTATGACTTCCTGGAGTTTGTATAGTACTTTGAAAGTATTTGGCAGACATTTTGCTTCACCAAGATTATATATTTTTTAACCTCCGTGATTTTTTTTTTCCAGTTCTTCTGGAATTTCATTTTTCATGCATAAAACATTGATCCATCTAACATTTATTTTGAGGTAAAGTGTGAGGAAGATATTCAACTTTAATTTTTTCCCCCCCAAATGGCTCCCTAGTTATTCCGAAGTGACTTGTTGAATAATTGATCTCTTCCCACCGACTTGAGACTCTACTTTCATCACATGTTAAATAATCCCATGTACTGAGTTCGACTTCTGGATGCCCAAGTCTGTCGCTTCACCATCTTATTATTGATGATAATTGCAGCTTTATAATATAGTTCAGTACCTATGCTCATCTCCCCTACTGCTCTTTCCCTGAATTTGCTTGGCTATTCTTTTTTTTTTTTTTAATGTGAACTTTAGAATCACTGTCTAGTTAAAAAAAAAAAAATATCTGTCCTCTGTGTATCTTCAAAGTGAGGAAAAATTAAGAGAATGACATCTGTGTAATGTTAATTCTTTCTATGCACAGTTTCCGTCCATTCTCAGTTGTCCCTTTCCCACTGAGCAGGAGGCTCACTCACTGGGCCATGGTGTACAGTTGTACAGGTTGTATACTGCACAATCCTAGGACTAAGGCTGCAAGTAGCTGCCAGTACCTGCCAACAGAGTATGAGCTCTTGTCTCTGGGATAATCTGCCCATGTGTGGATGTGATCAACAGGAATAGAAGCCACTGTCTTATAGCATGTGCCAGGTACTTTTCTAAGCACTTTGTCTTCTAATTTATTAATCCTCACAACAAACATATCCCCAGATACAGCTAAGGAAATTGAGGTGCTAAAAGGTTAAGTTGTTCAAGGTCAATGATTTGTGTTACCCACCTGTGCGTTCATGACACAGAAATCGGTTCCTGTACAAAAACACACACAGACACACACTTGAACACAAACACACACGTAAATACACAAACACGATCACACACCTGCATACATACACAGATGCACACAGATCCATACACAGGGACACGTGTGCATACACGCTGCTGTCTCCGCCGGTCTCCTTCCCATCAGCGTCTCCTACGCCTCACATTCCCCATCGCCCTGCCATCTCCTGCCTTGGGACAAAGGCTGGCCCATCAAGACCCCTGTATCAGATGGCAATGGACCTTTGTGGGGGGCAGGGGCTGATTGCACTGCAGGGGCTTGGGGATAGGAGCCTCTCTCCCAGGCCACCCTGGGAGGATAACAGGAGATGAGGGATGCAGAGTACCCAGCTCCATCCAGCTGGGGACCCAGCAGGTTCTCAGGGAAAGATATCCCCCGCCCCCTCCTCTTCCCCCAGGTCATTATCTTCAGCAGCCACTGGAAGCAACCCATCCAAGCAAAAGTCATTCGGCTCCAGGCTGGCGCCCCCAGGGAGTCTGAGAAATGAACTGCAAATGCGGACTGGGGAGAAAATTGCCCAGCGAGCTGGCTTACAGAGGCGAGGGTGTCTGCGTGCAGCGCGCGTGTGTGCACGTGTGTGTGTGTGTAGGCGCACAAGCCGCCTTCCCCTCTGAGTGTTCTGGCTCTGAGTCAGCCCCACATCCAAGGGACTTAGTCACTAGGGGGCTGGGAATGTTATTGTTTTAAAACAAACGAGTGATGACAGGAACTAACAGAGGGTTTTTTAAAACGAGATTCAAAGGGCTCTTGAAAGCTGCTGGAGAATATGAATGTGCCTTTGAAGTGCGAATGTGCCCATTTGTTAAACAGAGGGCAGAGCGGGCTGCCTCCGCAGGCGGAGAATCAGTTTCCTTGTCAAATGGGTGCCTCCCTGCTTCTCGGCCTCTGATACTTGGCCAGGGGTGGACTAGGATCCCAAAAGCAAGGGACTGGGGTGGGGTGGGGGGGCGGTGACCGCTCTCTCCAGAGTACACGCTCTGAAAGTGGTGCATTTCCAGGTGTTTTGTAAGGCAGTATGCTCACATGGCAGTTATTAATAGTGGCACAGAGATGTGCCTTCAGGGAAGTAGCACCAGGTTCATGAACGATTGAAACATCAGTGGACAGACAGTGGTCAAGGGCAGGTCCTCGCATGTGCCTGACTTGCTCTCCCAGTGGCCCCCACGGTGAGGGTCAGTAGCAGGGATGGGTTCAAGAAGGACTGCCCCAAATAATCACAAGGTGTACATTCATGAGATGGAGACCTTGGGCGTCGGGTGAGGGTGCTCTGTAACCTGGCCAGTTGACCTGGGCCCTAACTGTGCATTACAGCTGCCGCTGAGTTGTCAGTCTGTACTTGAGCCCAGAATGAAGCCTTGGCACAAAGGTGAACCTGTCTGAAGACCCTGGACCTCTAATTCTGGCTAAATCTGAGCAAGTGGGGATGGAGGGATCAAGCAGCCTGACAGCGGAGGGCTCCCCTTGGCGGATTCTGCCCTCAGTGCCTTAGAGGGGTCTCTCCCAGCCTGGGGAAGCAGGATTCAGTACACCCTGTCACCTGCAGCTTGAGTCAGCCCACCTCCCTATTTTCCTTGTGACATTAACACTCCTTTTGGCTGAGGTTCATTTCAGTAAGTGTCCCTCTTTCCTCCTGCCCTGGAGGGAGGAATCTGGAAGCACAGGGTGTGGAACGATCGGGATCCCGAAGCACCTAGAGCATCAGGGTGGCTGCAGAGGCGGTGAGGCTGGTGTGCACTGGGAGGAGAGAGGGGGAACTGGTTGGTGGGCATGGAGGACTCACTCGGACATCAGGCTGACCCGAGGTCCAGTCCTTCCCAGCCAGCTGACCTTGGGCAAGTTACCTGCCTGCACCTGCTCCAGCTGCCTAGGGGCGCAGGGCACCAAGTGAGCGACCGTACAGCGGTGAGCAAGGGCTAACCGGCAGCTTTGTGTGTGTTTCCCACAGATGACGTGGCCCCCTATTTCAAGACGGAGCCCGTGAGGACGCAGGTGCACCTGGAGGGGAACCGCCTGGTGCTCACGTGCATGGCGGAGGGCAGCTGGCCGCTGGAGTTCAAGTGGCTGCACAACAACAGGGAGCTGACCAAGTTCTCCCTGGAGTACAGGCAAGCCGCGCCCTCCCTCTGCCCACTCTTGGCTGTTGCTGCCGTGCCCTGAAGGGGTTCCAGGGTGGGGGGCCTGTGTGGCAGTTCGGAGGCAGGAGTACCCTCTCCAGTGGTACTGGGAGACTGGGGCAGGGGAGCAGAAGTGGGGAGAGGCAAAGACAGCCCTGTGTCCCAGGGTAAAAAGGCCCCTCCAGGCTGAGCCCAGCGGAGGATGGCTGTGGGGTGGGGTGGGGGTGGGGTAGAGGTGGGGGTCAGGGGTGGAGATAGGTGGCTGGTGCAGCAGTGGGTGGGGCAAGAGCGACAGGGTGGGGAGCTCACTACAGGCAGCTGGGGCGGTAGCCATGCATGTGGCCAGAGGCCCCCGCCCTGAAGAACCTTGCTATCTCCGGGGGAGACTCTTAGAGGGGCCTGGGTCCGAAGGAGCGGTGGGATGCATGGCGACCTGGGATCAGTAAGGGGGCACTTACTGGGATCCTTTGTGGGGCAATTCAGGTGGGATATGAGGGGCCCTGCCAGGGCCTTTGGGTTTATCTCCACTGTCTGTCTGTGTCCATGTGCTGAGCTCAGGCTGGCCCTTCCCTCCCAGGACACACCACCCAGCTGGGAGTAAGGAGAGGAAGCCGAGAGAGGGGGCCTCAGGAGGGCAGCCTTGCTGCTGCAGGTGTGAGCGGAAGGAACCACTCCCCCAGCCCAGCCTGGTCTCACCCTTTCCTCCTGCCTCTAGTCTCCCATCTCGGCCTTTTTTATTGGCTCCCAACCCTGTGGTTGGTGATTAATCCCCGGGCCTGACGTACACAATCGGTTTTGCTGGGGAAACAAGATTGTCTTGCCCTGGGGATGTCGATACAAATCTGCCGCCGGGGACAGGAATGCAGATGAGAGGAGGGGGTTGAGTTGCTTAAGGACCTGTGCCTTCAGGAGAGCCGGGAAGCCGGGAGGCCAGAGGTTACTCTGACCCCTACCGCCTGGTCCCTTTGCCCTGGCTCTGGACTGGGTTGGCTCGTGGGTGGCCTCCTCCTTTGGCAAGGAAGGAGCGGGAGGGGCCAGGGCAGGAGGACCACCTTGCCCCCTGTGGGCAGTGAGAGACCCTGGCCAGGATGCAGGAGGCCCTCTAGCGCCGGCCACTCTGGGCTTTGGGTCTCCAGGGCCCCGCAAGGAGACTAGGGGAGCCTTCCTGGGAAACCCCCGTGACGGTTCTCCTCGGGGGGCCCAGAGCCGCTCCCAATGCTGTTGGGCACCCCTCGCCAGTCTGGCCAGTCTCTTGCATCCTCTGGGATGGTGGAGGTGCTTGAGTCGGAACACCGGCAGCATGTGAATGGCGGATCATGGTTGGAAGTGGTGCCAGGGCCTCCCAGGCTTCCCTTGACTCCGACCGGCAGGGAGCCAGAGGCAGGACCCAGGAGGAGAGTTGGTTTTTTATCTGATCCTTTGAAAACAACTCTCGGTCCCTCAAGGCATCCATGTAGTGTTCAGGGTCCAGCTACCGATGATGGTAACAATAATTGGCAATGAAAGGCAATGCCTTATATGGCAGATATACTCTGTGCTCTCTGTGATTATTTATTTAATCCTGCCAGCAATCCTATGAGTAGGTTCAATTATTTTCCCCATTATACAGAAGAGCAAACTGAGGTATTTAATCTCAAACTAGAGAGAGCAGACAATTCACCCTGGGCCTCAAAAATAATCTGACTCCAGGGCTGGAATTCTTTACCATTCACCACACTGCTTCTCATTAAGGGATTGCTGCTATCACTTCCTTAATGTATATCCTAAGCAATCTTTCTGCGAACTGTGTAAGTTCTAGAAAACAAAGTGGTAGGGAGAATGCAAATACTCCCTTTCAGAGCTCAGTTGCATGGAAGTTATTCAGAGGGACAAAAGTGAGCTTCCACTGGGGATCGTCCCGGCTCCTTGCCTCCAAGAACACTGGCCGTTGTGGCGGGGCTAGGGCCACATGCCCCGGTGCAAGTCAGTCAGGATTTTCCTGGAACGCACAATGCGCTGCACCCACGAGGGAAGGTCTGCCCTCCTTAGCATGGCCTCCAGAACTCTTCATGATCTGCTCCTGATAGCATGTGCCTCGCCTCCAGCTATTCCCAGCAGAGGTGACATGCTGCCACCAAACAGGACCCTCATGTCCTGAGTCCTAGCACAGCTCCCTGCAAGTGCCCTCTTTCTCCCCTTTTCCGAAACTGTCCTGTCCCCTCCCCCTGGAATATGGCCCCTTTCGGAATCTTCTCTTTTCCTGCAGGGCACCAGCTCTTGCAGAAAGCCTTTCCTGATTGAACAGGTGTGTTGTCTCAGTCACCTCTCTCCCACACACGTTCATTCTGCCTTTCTCTGCCCTTTGTCACTGTCCAGAATACATCCCATTGCACCCTGCCTTCTGATGATTTACGTGAGACTCTGCAGGTTCCAGGGATGTCAGAACTCAGAACCGAGAACTTGATAGTGCCAGGCCCTTTCCCATCTGGACTGCTCAGCTGTGCCCACCTCTGGATTCAGACTTCTTTTTCACATGGTGAATGACACTAGAAGTTCAAGATCATAGGCTTATAGCCAGCCACATGATTTCAAAGTATAAGGAACTTCCCTGAAAATTTCATGTATAAAATCCCAGGGAAGGACTCTGATTGGTCCAGCATGGATTCTCCCTGACCAGTTGTGGTGTGCGGAAGCGCAGAGTACCGTGACTGGCCAGGTCTGCACTGTATGTCTACTCCAGGCCACAGGACACACTGTCTGTGTGTGGCGGGCCCCACACCAGAGCCACATGGTGGAAAGGATGATGAAAGTTGTTAACAGAAGAAGGGAAAAGGGTGTCTGGCAGCCCAAAGACACCTGTGTCTACTTTACCACCCCTATCCCCAGTGAGGGCCTGGCTCATAACAGCTATTTTTTAATTCCTTTCCTTCTTTACTTTTAATTTTGAAAGTTTTCAAATCTTAGAAAAATTTTAAGTACATTACCATAAAAACATGTATGCCTTTTACCACCCACTAATTGTTGATATTTTGCATCATTGTGCACACACTCTCGCTTTCTCCAAACACAGATATTTATGCATGTTTTTGCTGAGTTATTTAAGAATTAGTTGCTGACATCATGTCACTACCCCTTAGTAGAATTTTCTGAGAATAAGACACATTCTCTTAGAGAATCACAAGGCAGTTTCCACACCCAGGAATTTTCACATCGATACAATGCTGTTATCTAATCCACAGTCCATGCTCTGATTCTCCATGTGTCCCACTTAGGTCCTTGATGGCCACTTTTATTGTTGCTGGATTCAGGATCCAGTCAAGGACCACGTTGATTTTAGTTGTTGTAACTCTTTAACCTCCTTAAATCTAGAACTATTCCTCGTGGTTTTTCCTGTACTTCACAACATGGACATTTCTGAGCGTTCAGCCAGTTGTGCAGAATGTCCCCCAGTTGGATTTGTCCAGTTCTATCCTCATGATTAGACTCACATTAAACCTTTTTGGCAAGAACATTATGTAGAGGTGCACCCTTGTGGATGCTTCATCACTGAAAATTTCATGTATAAAATCCCAGGGAAGGACTCTGATTGGTCCAGCATGGATTCTCCCTGACCAGTTGTGGTGTGCGGAAGCGCAGAGTACCGTGACTGGCCAGGTCTGCACTGTATGTCTACTCCAGGCCACAGGACACACTGTCTGTGTGTGGCGGGCCCCACACCAGAGCCACATGGTGGAAAGGATGATGAAAGTTGTTAACAGAAGAAGGGAAAAGGGTGTCTGGCAGCCCAAAGACACCTGTGTCTACTTTACCACCCCTATCCCCAGTGAGGGCCTGGCTCATAACAGCTATTTTTTAATTCCTTTCCTTCTTTACTTTTAATTTTGAAAGTTTTCAAATCTTAGAAAAATTTTAAGTACATTACCATAAAAACATGTATGCCTTTTACCACCCACTAATTGTTGATATTTTGCATCATTGTGCACACACTCTCGCTTTCTCCAAACACAGATATTTATGCATGTTTTTGCTGAGTTATTTAAGAATTAGTTGCTGACATCATGTCACTACCCCTTAGTAGAATTTTCTGAGAATAAGACACATTCTCTTAGAGAATCACAAGGCAGTTTCCACACCCAGGAATTTTCACATCGATACAATGCTGTTATCTAATCCACAGTCCATGCTCTGATTCTCCATGTGTCCCACTTAGGTCCTTGATGGCCACTTTTATTGTTGCTGGATTCAGGATCCAGTCAAGGACCACGTTGATTTTAGTTGTTGTAACTCTTTAACCTCCTTAAATCTAGAACTATTCCTCGTGGTTTTTCCTGTACTTCACAACATGGACATTTCTGAGCGTTCAGCCAGTTGTGCAGAATGTCCCCCAGTTGGATTTGTCCAGTTCTATCCTCATGATTAGACTCACATTAAACCTTTTTGGCAAGAACATTATGTAGAGGTGCACCCTTGTGGATGCTTCATCCTTGAAGGCACCCAGTGTGAGTTCGTCCCATTATTGGTGATGTCAGGTTTGATCAGCTGGTCAAGGTGATGTGCACCAGATATCTGCGCTGTCAGGGTTACGAGGTGTCTTCTTCCGTTTGGATGATAACCTGAGACTGGGAATATTTGCCCCAGGAATCTCCCACCCAGGGGTTTGGTATCCATTGGTGAGTCTTACCTGAACCAGGTATTACTATGCTGGTTGTGATAAGCAGATTTTCCATTTCTCTTATTCCTTTGACTTTACATTAGTTGCATTCTTCTGTAAAAAAACAAAAAGATCTTCCCTTTCTCACCTCCTTTTGTGGTAAAATAATTTACATTTTTAACTCATAGATATTTCCTATTCCATGCATTTAAATCCATCCGTGTCATTATTCATCTTGATGCACGTAGGCCCAAACTTGGCCTTACTTGGCCAGTAGGACGCCTTCGGGCTGGATTCTGGGTCCTTGCGACAAGCCTCCATTGGATTTCTAGCACTTTCTTACTTTTTAGCTCAACAAAAG